CCCCAAAACCCCAAAACCCCAAAACCCCAAAACCCCAAAACCCCGTAAATTTGAATTAGCCTGAAATCAGAATTAAAAGATTGTTATAAATTTATATTGTAATTTATCATTGCCTCGTAACTATAAATCTCAAATAATTTTAAATTCATTATTTACTGAGATTCAATTAAATTTAGGTGATTATCTTCCATTCTTAGTTAAGGATTGTCTAACTTATTCATCGTAATCATAATAGTTAGAACCCTCGAATTCTCTATCTTCTTAGTTTATCAGTGCACTTTCATTAATAGATTGATAGAAAAGAGCATCTGGGTTTCTTTAAATTGGTGAAATTATATTACTGCTCATAACTCGATCCATTTGGTTTTGAGCAGGACTTTTTGGGCTAAGCTAATTCTGATTTACTTGACCGCCACCACTATTCCAATCTTCTTCAATTTCTTGGATGAATGCTTGATTTCCTTGTTTTCTGGCATTTCGATTGTAATCCTTAGTGAAATCCATAAGTTTACTTTGTTTAATTTCACTTTGCGGGAAGAGATTTGGATTTGATTTCGTAGATTTAAGAGAATTAACATGATGGGGATTTCTATAGGTACTATTTGTCTATTGCTGTCGAGGACTTATTTATGCAATCGTTGTAATTTATTAGGTATCGTTAAGATTGCTATCTCTATTTCTGAATCTCACAAGTGGACCTGAGAGGTAGCTATCAGCATTACTATTTCTTTATGTGTCATTCAAGATGTTTAAGTTGCTTCTGAGATTATTTAGGTTTCCATCTAACTCATCAACATCAATGTTAGATTCTTCTATGACATCACTGAGATTCTCAAAATCATCGTTCACCTATTTAGTTTCTCTCAAATTTTGCCTTAGATTCAATTGGTTTGGATTTTATTGTTGTGTTAGCTATTGCTTATTTTTGTTGATTGGTGTAATTTGAATACTCTAACTTTTTTATTCATGGATTGGTGATTTAATTACTATATAGGGATTTTTCTTGGCTTTATTTGGAGTAACATTATTTGCTGCATCATAGTCAGCCTCAATATCTAGAGAACTATTATTATTAGGATTCAATGGTTTTCTCATTATATCCAGTCGATTCGGGCTTGGACTTAGCTTTTCTTCCTCTTCATCTTCATAATAATTTCTGCTAAGACTATGAGATGCTCTACTTATGTTACCTTGTCTATTGGGACTGGACTGGACAGCATGAATAATATTTTCATTTATAGACTTTATTCCCAGGAATTATCCTGAACCCTCTCCTTCTACCTGATCAACCTGTTATTATTGCCTAGTCTTGCTTCCATTTGGACTAGGATTATTAGATCTAATGACACCTTTTTATTCTAGCCTTTACAGGTATATTTTCTCTGCTTTTTCTTAAGTACATCTCTTTTCAAGCATGATTTCCTCAATAATGTAATCCTAGGCAGTCTTTCTCAAGTACCATTAGCGCCTATTTTTCATTTCATTCAGTAGTTTCCAATGCATCTGCTCTTTTTCTTCTTCAATTGATATCTGCGGAGGTTTCTTTGCTACTATTTGTTGTTGCATTACCTAGGATGTTGTCATATTTCTGTCCTTTTCAAGATTCTTTACTCTTATCTCAAGTGGAGCCATTTAAGTCTAATGGATAAAATTGACTGTATCTTTTTACAAAGCGGCTACTACTTTGTCCTCCATTTAATTGAAATCTGAGCAAATGTTTTCATGAAATTTATTCATATTTTAGTCTAAAGCCTCCTAGTTTTGATTAATGATATCAAACTTTGACTCTAAATCATCCAATCTGTGGTCTTATTCCTCCTCTTTGACTTATAATTGATTAATTTGTTCTTGCAAGGAATTGACGTTGTTGTCGTTGGTTTACAAGTAATCATTAATCTATCTGACATTGTCATCATTATCTGCAATATAACTATTAATCTAATCATTTATCTGATTGAATTGCTGCTGAGTGTTATCATCTATCGATAGTATTTAATTTTGAATATCTTGAATAAGTTGGAGATTCTTGTTTTCAATATTTTCAAGTTTATTTTCCAACTGCTCAAGACTTTCTTGTGTGTTGTCATCTCTCTAATGTATTTCATTCATTATTCTCTAGTCTTGGTTTTGTATATCTAACTGTAGTTTTTTTATCATCTAATCCTAAATATTTTCCCTTTCATTAAGCTTTTCAGTTAATTGATTTTGTTGCTCAACTCTCTGTTTCAAATCCTCCAGTTCTCCACTTAATTCCTCTCTTAAAGCTTCCAAGTCATTTGGATTGATCTTCTGGTTTGGATCTTTCTTTGGCTTGTTAAGAGTTCTATTTCTTAAATCATTTAAATCCTTATCAAGCAAGGCTAACTTATCAGATTATTTAAGAAGTCCATCCTAAACTTTTGCATGAGTCTCCTCATAAATTTTTACTAGTTCATTAAAATCTTCATTCATTTTCTACTCTAATAGCTAATTATCATGAGTTTGACTGTCACTTTCTTCTTATAATTATTACTTAATACTATTCTCAAACTCATTTTGTTGCTATACTTAATCTAAAATTTAATTCTTTAGCACTCTCAGTTAATCATTCAGAGAATTGATTTCATTTTACTATTAATCTAGAGTACTATTTAGCATGTCATTAATTATTTTTTGTTCCTCAGCCTGCTTTTGATTTTATGCTGAGTTTAGGTTTCTATGTTCATCCATAGTAGCCATCGCTTTTTAAGGTTTATTTTTCTTGACCATAATATGCTCTGTATGTTCTTGCTATTTCTAGTTTATTTTGTCTTATTCCTCTTGCAAAAATTATACTTACTAACTTATCTTTTCCTGCTAGGCTTAATAAGCTTATAGCTATTTTATATCATTATCTTATCTTCTTTAGTCTTGATCAATGAATATTTGCATCTATCTTTAATGTTCCTTGACATCATCGAACTACTCTCTAGTCTCTTTATTTAGTTGTTCAATAGCTTGAGCTATCTATTCAATTCTGTGATCACAATCCTCTCTCAATTATTACGCATACAAATCCTGTCTAAGTTGATCTTATTTGAAATCATTCTGAAACTTTTCTTGCAAATTTTTTAGGTCTTACTTTACTTTTTGATTTTAATTTTAAACATTATCTTCTAAGTCTCCAAGTCTTTACTCTATATCATTTATTACTTAGAGATTATTTTGAGAATTCATAAGCTTTTCAAGTTCCTGTATTTTTTCTGCATTAATACCTGTTGATAGCAATTTGTTTATCTCGTTTATTCTATTGTTTATGTCATCATGCTCTAACTAGCTTCTTCTTTCATGATCCTTTAATTCCTTAGTTTTTTCTTGTGAAAGGGATACAATGCCCTAATTAAGTTCATTTTTTACTTTTCTGATCTTGTTTTCTAAGTCATCATTAGTACTGTCTATCTAAATATTAACCTTATCGAACTATCCATCATGCTAGATCAGTCTTTCCTCTAATGAATTAATCCGATCTTGCAGTATTTAAAGCTGGTTTTGAATATGCTAATTTACATCAGCTTGCTAATCATTTGATTAACCGATTGTCTCTGATAACTTCTCTATAGCATTTTGTTAGGAGTCAAAGTTAAGCTGCACATTCTATGAATGCTAATTTAATGAGTCCTCGATTTAGTTTGTCAATTTAATGAGATCGTCTTCAACTATTTTCAAATCGTGGGCTAATGCATACTTGTCAAGTTATACTTCATTATAATCGGGCTCTGCTTATTGAATATGAATTGCTGGCTATCTGGAATGCAAATCTCTAATAAATAATTAATTATAATTTAGATTTATTACTGCTAAAGTTTATCGAAAAGCTAGCAAATTTATCTTTCGAATCCAAATTATTGCTCGAACATCTGATTTTTCATGTCATTTAGATAGCTCTTCAAGTCATTGTCAATGAACCTCTAGAATTCATAATTCATGCTATTAAGCATATCATTTACACCTTAGGGTTGATTTTAGGATGCATTAGTAGTTGCTAATAATAAATTTTTGTTGATTGGCTAGACATTTGGTGAATACAGGGTTTTGGGTTTGGGTATAGTATTTTGAATTAATGGTGGATGATAGAGATGATTGTTACAACTTGCATGATCTTTGTTTATTCTTAACCCAATGTAGTCTAGCCCTTAATTGGCATCTCCAAATATCTTACTATTATTAGAGGACATAAAAGAACTAGAAAGATTAGCATTTTGATTTTCTCTACTCGTAGATCTTATTCTGAGTGGAGTAATATGTGGCATAATTGCTGGTTGATTCCTCATAATTAGATTGACTCTCTTTTTATTTTTATAATTTAAATTTTATTTCTACTGACCTTTTATTGTTATAAATTCTTATTAATTTTCATTATCTTGTGGTACGGGGTTTTGGGGTTTTGGGGTTTTGGGGTTTTGGGG